TCTATGACTCATTGATGGCGATGTATGGACCGATGTTGCAGCCGCTGAGGACGCTCATCGATGGTAGTTCAGGCGCTACCTGCACACAGACTGCAGACATAATGCAGATCTGGCAAAAACACTGACTGTCTCTTGAACAACCATTCAGAATTCGACTGGTCTACTTTGAACTGCCTCAAGCAGCTTGATGTGAAGGCGAGTCTGGCGGACACGCCGACACTGGATGAGACGCAGAGAACACTTGCTCAGCTACGAAACGGCAAGTGTGCCGGTGCCGACAGGATGCCACCTGAAGTAATGAAACACGGTGAACCCGCGTTGGTGGCTGCGATGCACCACTTGATGCATCGTGTATGGATTGAGGAGGAGGTGCCTGCTGAGCTGAAGGATGCCCTTGTGCTACCACTGTGCAAGAGCAAAAGAAGCAAACAATGTTGCACGAATTATCGTGGCATCAACTTGCTGAGTTGTGTGGGCAGGGCGATTGTCCGAATCCTGCTCAACCGCCTCGTCAATCAGCTCGTGGAACCTAACGTGGTGGAAGAACAAGGTGGATTCCGTTCGGGTCGCAGCACTATAGATATGGTGTTTGCGGCTCGTCAGTTCCAGAAGTGTAGAGAACGACACTAGCCATTGTACCCGCATTTTGTTGATTTCACCAAGGCATTTGATACGGTGAACAGGGAGACATTGTGGCTGGTGTTGGGTAAGTTTGGTTGTCCGAGTAAGTCTAATTGAATGTCTGCATAGTGGCATGCGGGCGATGATGCTGTTTAGTGGACAGACCTCGGATGACTTTGCAGTTATCACTGGTGTGATGCAAGGCTGTGTCTTAGCTCCTGCCCTGTTTAATATTTATCTTCATACAATGACGTCTTGTTGTTTAGACGCGGCCTGTGCTAACGGTGTTCGCGTGGTGGGTTTCTGAACATCCCTCGTTTCGGCGCTAGAACCCTAGTCTGTGAGGCAACTACACGTATGTTGCCGTTTGCTGGCGACTGTGCGTCGTCTGCACACAGCGCGGATGAGTTGCAGCACATGATTAGCGTACTACTTTCGACAGCGGTCAAATTCGGGTTCAGCATCAACACAAGCAAAACAGTCTGTCTTTTTCACCCTTCACCAGAGCTGCAAACTACGATGGAGCCGCAAAGGAGCATTGGTGGGGAAGTATTGGAAACCTCCGCCTGCTTCTGCCACCTTGGGAGCGTAGTGTCGAATGACCAGCAGCTACACAGTGAGCTGCGTACCCGCGTCTCGAAAGCAGTGGCGGCACTCTGGAAGCCTGAGTATCGAGTGTGGGACAACCATCAGCTTACCGCTGGCAGGAAGCTGATGGTGTACAAATCCATGGTGCTGTTATCTGGAGCGGCTCCAATAACAGTGTCTGCGACGGAGTCTGCACAGTGGTTGGTGCGACAGGATTGCAGTTACGGTGTTGCGACAAAGCTCCGGACACAGAAGTTTTGTACCGAAGTGGAATACATGCAGTGGACTACTAAGACACCTTAGGTGGCTCGGTAATGTATAGCGTATGGATTCGACGCGGATACCGATTCAGCTATTATATAGTCAACCGAGTTTAGGAAAGCAACATGTGGGGAAAGCGAAACTTCGTTACCAGGACATGAGCAAAGTGAGCCTCTCACATTCTAATCTTGACTGCATATCATGGGAATCGAAAGCGGTTGATCAGCGTGTATGGCGCGATCTAAACAGGAAAGCAGGTGCAGAGGTGCAAGAGAAATCTCTCGTGCATGTGGAAAAAAAAGCGGCAATTGCGAAAATGAGAGGCGCCGCTTGTTGTACTCCATCGACAACGAGTGCACATGCGGTCGCGAGTCCTTAATTCAGGCAGGCCAAGTGAGCTATGAATGAGGTCACTCCGAGACACCATCAACATCATCAGTATACAAGTTAGCTAGAGGTGGGAAATACATAGAAGAAAAAAGGAGAGAAAATGCAATAGCTGTAAGCCAGCTGAGCTACTGGTAACGGATGGGCATCGTTACGGTAAGCTACCAGCCGGTTACTGTGTATCAAAAAATTACTAGGCAAAGTAATATAAGACTAAATAGTGGGATTCTGGTTAGAGGGGGGGCTAAGAAGGATGGGGTGTGACAAACAAACTCACAGCACGAACACCATTGAGTTCGGCTCTTAGCCATGTCAGCAAGTGTATCCAGCCAAACGTGTTCATCGTCTTTCAAACCCCAACCAGTGAGCCGAGACGACCCAACTGAGCTCAGCTCCAAAGTGAGGGCCTTCATTTCTCTCGACCAAGTCATCGCTTGGCCATCTCTCCTCCACTTCCATCCACACTCTCGGCACGCAAACAAAGCACGTCGCGGCAGTCGGTGGGCTGGCATGTGTAACACGTGGCCAACCATCGGAGCCTGGTAGGTGAAATAACGGCGCTGAGCGGTTCATTTTCTTTTCCTGTGCCGTAAAAAAGGCGTCGAACACCCTCGTTTCTAATTAGGTGTTCTTACCAGAAGTGAGCTAAGTTGCGAAGGCACCAGTGGTGGAACGTAACTAGCCTCTTTAGGACCGTTGATCTAAAGGGCCAGATTTCACAACCGTGCAGTAGGGTCGAACGTACCGCTGCACTGTACACTCTACCCTTCATGGCGAGAGTGATGTCGCGCCGCCGCCATAAGTGGCGGTTAGCAAAAGCGCCTCGAGCTTTTGCTTTACGGTTCGTGATCTCATCTTCAATCCCACGGGCGCTGATACAACCTCCCAGGTAGTGGAATTTTTGAACGATTTCTAGCTGATCCCAACCCTGGGTCAGAGCAGAAGGCGATCCCAGCCAATCTTGAAGGAACGCTTTGCACTTCGAGGGTGCAAACCAAAGCCCGAAGTGACGGACAACCAGTGCTAATCTGTCCAGTGCCGATTGGCACGTTTGTGAGCTGTCACAGATTAGGGCAATGTCGTCTGCGTACTACAAGTCAAAAAGTCGATCTCCTGCTGGCCGATCTGACCTAGAGTGCGGACGTTAAAAGAAGCAAACTGAAATGAGACTGCAGGCTTGATGGAAGAGCTACATGTATTGATGGTAGTAGCTGCGAAGTCAGCGGTAGTCTCTTGATCAATGGACGGGGAAGAAGAAAACTGAGGGGAGAAAAGAATAAGAGGCAAAGGAAGTATTGTCGATGTGGTCGAGAGTGCAGATGATACTCTCCGGCTGCCCGTTCCGAGAAAGGGGTTTTGTTCGAGGTGCCCTGGCTCTATCCTTTGACTCAACAGTCTGATCCACAAGGAAATGGGGATATGGAGATTTTCTTGACTCGACCCGGAGCCTTTGGCTCAATAGCCGGATCCAAAAGACAGTGGGGCTCATAGAGGTTCGCTTGAGGGACTCCATCCAAAGCCTTTGGCTCAGTAGCCTGACTCACAAAGCAGTGGGGAGCAAGTCCAGTTCTGGAGTGTGATTGCAGAGACCTAGTGGGATCCGCATGAAACCTGTCACACAGTCTTTGAAGATTTAGAACGGTGTACACTTGTCTAACGACCGTATTATCTTACGCACCTGCGACCACGGCCAACCGTAGGTGAGAGTTAGCGGGTTTACACCAATTTGACCATAGGGTGCCTAGCATGAGGCACCGGAAGGTGACCTTCCACTGTCAACGACAATGCGTGGCGCTCGTGCTCTACGTCAATCGGGCTGTGAGCTTATAATCCGCAGACTTGTTAACTCACACGGTTAGATCTTAAAGGAAGAGGGCCATCGACCTCTCCATAACCGAAGAGGATTGGATTGTGAGATTGAGTTAGTCTGACCCCTAACTACGGACCTGCTTGGCATGAGTGGCTCTGAAGCACTTGGAAAGTGCCAATCCGCGTAGTTCAATGGATCACGGGTGTACGCAAACCATTGTACCACGCTATGGTCCAGTCTCATTGCGATGGAGTAATGTTAAACACTGTTTTTTTAATATTTATACGGCCATCTGGTTGAGTTGAATCGCAGCACAAGAGTTGAGGCATTTCCCACATCTAGGTAACGTAACCAAGACAACGGAAATTCCACACAATCGGGTTAGAAAGAAACAACAGACGGAAACAAACCCTATGCTTTAATTCGTGGTCACATCCTGCATAATGAGTTAGCGAATGAGCACAATAATTGTGCACTTTGCTCTAAACATCCGTGAGAACAGTCTCTAGTAGAAAGGAGAACTATTTTCATTGACTTGCGAACACGTCGAGAAGTAGGCATTTAAGTTCATGGAAGGGTGCAACACTGTGGTGCGGTCAGTGTAGCTGTAAAAGTCAGAAACCTGGTCAATGCGCATTGAGAGCATTGAAACACTGACCGTGTTTGACCACCAACGTTTGTGAAGCATTGCTCAATCCGTCAATACTACTGATGATGTAATATTGAAGTTCGTTATCCGGCGATCGAAAAGGAACCATGCGGCGCCTCATCAAGTTGACTGTTCGATTCATATTGTCCCAGCTGGCTAGGTTACGTGCCCCGCATGCTTGAAAGATGGTCGCGTTGACATGCATGGTTCACCAATGTTACATCTAGTTGGATGAGACCCAAAAGAATCTCAGCACTAGCATAGCAAAAGGCATGGAAGAACTCACTGGAGACAGATAAGGTTGGTGCTTGTCGTGTTCCTTGGTCCTCGGGAGCAGTCACTGCAGCGACTGGATACCTCGTCGCACATAGCTAGATCCCGAAATCAACAGGATTATTGAACTTGCTACCACGTTTCAGACTATGACAGCCTTGCCCCTTCCGCAGAAGTACAATTAATGATTTGGCAGCGGTTGATTAATCGAACTGAACAGCTTCCGTCAAAGATAGGACGAAATAAACTTGTAATATACTTCTGAGACTGACTGTAATATGCGCTCAAGCAGTAAGCATTACTAATGACTTCAAACATATGGTGTTTTGTGTGTATTGGAAAGAGTTTTGGTTTTAGAGGGCGTTTGCTAATGTCAACCGACATAAGCAACGAAAGTCACGTTTGTGGCTGTCAAACTGACAAGTTTTCAAAAAGGACTGTCTTACCTTCAAACTGACATCGCCACTCGAGCATACCATAAAAAGGATATGGACAGTGAGCGGTAGATTCAGCATCATCTTTCGAATTTTGGTTTGATTTCGACAATTCAGGTAGGGGGTAAAAGCCAGTTTGTAGGGAAGATGGAGATGCTGCCGCAGCAGTAGTAGAAAGCGCGGCCAAAAACTCATTCAACTGGAAAAAGATGAACATCATTCTTGAAATAAGCTAATGTGAAATGCGACGTGACTGGGTCATATCGATAAATAAATAAATGAAATGTATATGCTCGATAGAACGAGGCACACTAGTTAAGGCATGAGCGGGGTGGAAAATGACATTTCAGTTACACAGGCAACAAATGTAAGTACATCTACATCAAGGGGTACGAGGCGACGTAGACCATAGTGGACATGGAGCAATTGTGAATCATTACGCTGTGCACCGATTAGTGTCCTTTGTACTAAAGGGGAAAAGTGAGCAACAGAACCCATAGGTCAAACCACTAACGATATTCCATATGCTAGGTAAAACCGCAAAAAATATTAGTGAGGAGCTGCGCATAGGCGAGTAACAAACAGATGTTGTCCCCAGTACGCGCCGTGCCATTAGTCTGGGAAGCCCTAGCTCAAAGCAGCGAACAAGTAGGACAATATAGTGATTGTCAGTAGCGAAGAGCATCAGCAAGATGGCCGATCCAAAACAAAAAGGAACAGTTTCCAATGCAAGAAACCTGAGGTTCAAAGCCTTAAAACTACAGCCGCGCAACGTGGTCAAGCGAATGGGGTACCGACAAGCATCGGACAAAGTGTCTGTATGAACCCCACCCCAAGTCTGCAAAGTAAACACCTGCTCATCTAGGCATACACAAGCTAGCACAGCACCGGGTGCTTGGAACAAACAGGGGAAATCAAAAGAAACAAGGGAGGAAGACTGACTTGAAAATCACGCATAGAATCTGCAGTTGCTGCATCTGATGGCTGAGGCGGCTCATCGTCCGAACGCACACCATGCATATTCGGGCTGAGATCCAATAACTGTTTAATCATGGATATTGCGCGAGAACCTTCACACCAACTAGAAGCTCGGGAAGATATAACCGAAGAGCGACAAACATGAGCCGTAAAGACCATGCGACTCTGTGGTGTTGCAGGGACATCTTCCTGTTAGAAACAAGATAGAAATGCCTGTAAAAAGGGTATGAAGGGCAAGAATTTAACAAATTAAATCAGTTACGCGTCAGAGGAAATTGTTGAGGATCGGATGACAATAAGCGACGCAGCGCAAACGAAGGTACTAATGACCGTAATAAATTTCGGAATATAAACCAATCGCGTCAATAAAAACAGCAAACTGTGTAACATACTAGACAAAGATTGCATGTAACCATTTCCCCGATATCAGTAGGCGGTTCAGTAGGTAAAAACATAGAGACGACGCGGTCCGGGCCAAGAGCAGATGGGGAAGCCGTGGGTGAGGCCCTTTCGGCTATAAAAAACAAATTCTCCTCCACCTCCATGGGATGAGTCTGAAGTGAGAAAGCGGTGGAAACATGAGGAGGCTGCGACGAAATACACATTTGAGATGAAAATCATGTCACTCTAGATCGACTGGGCACTTAAGATAGTGTTCACTGCCATTCCAGGGACAGTGTAGAGATTTCATTAGACACTCGGACAATTAGGTAAAGCCTAACATCACAAAAATCAAATGACTGGCGTAACAAGTGCATCATATGAGTAACAGACGTGTGGTATGTATATATCGGCAACCGTCTAAAGAATAGACACAAATCCCGACAAAACCATGGAAATCATAGGAAGAATACAAGTTTAATCACCACATCATCATCATGGCGCATTAGCTGAAGGTGAGCAACACGTACAGTCTATGAATCGATTTCAGTGAACATAGAGGGAACGAGATATGCGCCAAACTAGGCAAACAAAAAGAAGCGAAATCAAAAGGGTGGAGAGGGTGGGCTCATTCGGAAGCAATTTGAAGAGAGGCTCATTATACTCATTGTGAAGTCCGCATCAAATATGACTTCATTCACAACTAATGACTAAACACTAGTATGTCCACTTGGTAACCTGCTTCTGTGTATTCTTGAGGTATGGGTACACGAACACGAAGCATTGATACTTAGACTCGTATTGTTCATGATTCAGGACGCAACCAATTCAATGTAATCCATATGTGGATAATTGAATTAAGAGAAGTATTGAGTTTGTTTATTGCCCGTAAAGTGCTTTTTCCGCCGTTTTCCTTCCTAAGGTTTACAAGAGTAAACCGCTACACATATTCTCCGCTCAGACATGTTGCGCAACGTTTAGGTTTATACCGTTTGATATTTGTTATTTACCCAAGATGGAGTGCACATAGTATAAACATTGTTTCATCCACGCAATCAGCAGAAACAGCATACAAGCACTTAGTAAGGCTTCTTCGCCACACCACAGCAATTCTGAAAGATCACTCCGCCTGTAATCTGCGAGTATACACATTCTGAAGCTACTGTGCGCTATTGTGTGCAGCGAATAGAATAGCGGATAATGTATGATGAGATGAGATTTGGTGCAAGCAGTGTGGTTATACAGAACCAGAAACAGTTTCGCGGCAGCGAAACACTGGTGATTGATAGAAAAGCCTAAACACAAGACAGTGGGAGCGTGGCGAAACTCAAGAAACAAATCGGCCAACAATTTTCGATGCATAGAGAGGAAACAAAACCTAGGAACACACCGATACTAATAGTCAGAAAGAGAGTAAATGAAGGAGAGGCGAGCAAAGGTCCAGTAAGCTGTACTGCCACAGCGACCAGAATGGACCTCAGTGTGGTTGGGCAATGCTGGCCGGTGCCGTTGTATCATCAGTTACTCATACCAAGCTGGCCAATGGTTAGGGGCTAAACAAACTCTTTTGGAGGTTGGGGTGAAGGTGATTCCTCAGTCCATAAAACGGACTAACTGTAGCCTTGAAGTCCGGTTTTTGAATCAAACACTTCAGTTGGGAACCATAATCGCTCTTCTGTGTAAACCTGGGCAAATTGACAGCGTCCTGCCCAGGTAATAAAATGAATTTTTCTTCTAACGATTTCTTGATACTCCGTCTGTCGCAGAGGAAAATCAATGGTGCCTTATATGCTGCTTCGAGCATGATGGATAGGGATTAGGACACTATTGTTCACGGGCTCCCATTCTCTTCCCTCTCGCGCATTTTCATCCTTCTCGTCCCGTGCAAACTCCAAATCCATCCCAGCTGTTTTCAACGCCCTAATTCTTGGCCCTCCCTCATCTTACGTTGATAGGCCTTTACCTTCTAGTTTTAACTCACACGCTATCGCAGGGAGTTGATCCGGTCCTGTCGACCAGTAAATGTCCAACCAAACAAACGTCAGTACATCTGTTTCTGTTCGGAGCCCTCGATCCTCCCTGAGAAAGACATGACACAATGCGCGCAATTTGTTGCAGATTAGCCAACAGGAAGCACTTGCCAGAACAGTTATCGATCGACAACTGCTGTTTGTCATAAACTCGCCTGCAAGATTCGAGTTTCGTGATTACCCTGTGATCTTCTGCATGCGACACTAGCGGTATACTCTCAATGTGCTTACCTGGAGAGGACGCAGCTTCAAATGCCGATCCAGTCGGTGTGCGCAGCTCTGTTAAACATCGAGATGAATCTGCCTTGATAGGGTTGGATTCCGATGAACAGCTGGATATGCGCTGTCAGATTGACTGGCTAGTTCAAAGCTTCGAGGTCGAACAGGGACAAACTATGTTTGGAATTGCGAGCTATGCTCCAACAAATTGTAGCGTTAAAACGGTGAAAAATGACTTGTACCACCAACCGAAAGCGCTCCTTCATTATAGAAAAAGTACGGCCACTGTGGTGTTTGCTTGTCATATGAAGGCCCAAATATAAAAACTGTCTACCGATGAGCTTCATCTCGGTTGCCAACATGGTGTAGGCACTCGTAATGATAACGGTGAGCGGTTGCTGCACATGTGTGAAGAAGCTCGTTCTTTTGCGCAAGCATTAATTTGCGACACAGCACCCGTAGACGGATGACTTGGTGCCCACCAGCCTCGGACCAGCCATGGACGCAAATCGATCACATAGCGGTTAATTACCGCTGGAGGAGTTGTGACCAAAACTGTCGCTGGATTTGAAACACATGTGTAGACACTGACCACAAACTTGTATGTGCTGATGGGCGGGTGCGTTTTGGCGGAAGTCCGCACCGGCCCAGTGAGAGCATAGATACCTACCAGCTGGCGAAGCCATATGTTCCGAATGCATACCAAAGTACGCTGGCATCCGAGCTAAGTGAGTGCTCACTGAACACAGTTGAACATCACTGGTCACATATCCGCCAGACGATATTAGCAGCAAGCAAGTCTTCATGCGGCAAATCAAATTGCAAACCTGGACATTTGGTCTCTATGCAGTCTCTGGGAAGTATGGATGCTCGCTGGCATGTTCCGGCTGGAAGCGAACACAATGCGACTCGCATGAACCTCAGGTCTAAAGTGCATGCTAGCCTGAAGAGAGACCGTGAAGCGTGGTGGTCTCATTGTGCGTGGGAGATGGAAATGGCCACGATCCTTGGTAACCATCGGAAGCTATTCCGTCTTGTACAAGAAACGGATAGCAGGAGACTTGGTGTTAGCGAGACCATAAGCGACGAGGGTGGACAGCCAATTCACAGCTTGAACAACGAAATGAGAAGACGAATATTGGCAGATGCTAGCATTTCGTATTATCTCGTCAGTACCAATACAATAACAGGGAAATCCTTTTATATATCTTACAGGGCACAGTCAAACCAATCAAATTTATTGTTGTGGTCATTGTTTATCAGATTACGACCACGGCAACCGCAGGTTGACAATTAATTGCTTTTGGACACACAAAGCTGGTCTAATTCGGCTTATCGCGACGGCCTCGGCAAATCGTAAACAGGCGTGCATTAGTATGACGTAACAAGATCCGGAAAGCTGATAAGGGATTGACCTGGTGACGAGTCGCCAAGATGTGCCTGCCTATGGAGGACGCTGGTGGCTTACGCGAACCACGTATCATCGGAGGTGGATTGGGTAACTTCATGCTGAACCCAGTTTGGTAGGTGTTC